CTTTAATTTAATTTATATTCTGAATCTCTTACCATACCGATTTTAATTGCATTTAGTTTTCTCAACTTTTATATTAATAACACAATAATAACAGATAACCTAGGATGTCTTCTAGTCCAAGCCTCTGCTCAAACAGGAAACCTTATACCATTTCAGACAAATGGCTGTCCAGTCTCTTTTTAAAAGCCTCCAGTGTTGGAGCATTCACAACTTCTGGAGGCAAGCTGTTCCACTGATTAATTGTTCTCACTGTCAGGAAATGCTTCCTTAGTTCTAAGTTGCTTCTCTCCTTGATTAGTTTCCATCCACTGCTTCTTATCCTGCCTTCTGATGCCATGCAGCTTCTAATAAAACCTTGTTTTCCTCTTTGCTCAGACCTCTAAGCTAGTCAAAGGCCATGTTTCATCAGGGAAATTAATGGGGTCGCACAATGAAATAACCTAAATAAGCCAAGTGTAGGGACTGCACTGCGAGATGAGGGGCATATAAATTATAAATGAAATAATTTCAAAAATGTAGAAAAGCACAGGTTACACAACATATTGTAATTAATTATCCCAACATTTATTCAGCTCAATGTTCTGGGTTCACATGACAGCATCTTATTTTTCTCCTTCCTAATTTAAAATTAAGAACCTCTTTCCATAATATTCTCTTTGTCCTGCTTCAAGCAAATCACGTTATGCTGATTTTATATTGACTTGCATTCCACACCATTGTTTTTTAATAATGTCAAACCAAAGATCTGTAAGAATCATAAGCTAGTAAGGAAGCATACGGTTGCACCTGTTCGATCTCAAAGGAAGAGCCCAGGAACAGTTTTACATGTAGTGGAAACAGACATCAACTGGAAGTTGTGGATTTAAAGTCTCTGGTCACAAGAAAACACACAAAACCCAGCTATAGATTATTAGATGGGACCTGAACACTAGGATAACTTGGCTATGAACACTAGGACTGGTTTGAAAGTCAGCTTCTCTATCAGGATCAGAAAAAAAAAGTCAATCCTTGAAAGACTGGGTTTTCCTGCCAGCCTGAAAGCAATATGCTCTATTATCCCAGTCACTTCACCCCAATGGCATTCAACTAAAGATCCTACACAGAGAGAGAGAGAAAGAGAAAGAGAAAGAGAAAGAGAGAGAGAGAGAGAGAGAGAGAGAGAGAGAGAGAGAGAGAGAGAGAGAGAGAACTAACACATTGAACCCTGTACACATAATAAAAACTAAGCATTATTTTCTACAGATGAGATGAGAAGGCTTTACAATGACAACAACTCTTAAGGATGAAATTGAAAGTTGATTAACAAGAGAGGCTAGTCCAAAAGAAGAAGAAAGAAAAAAGCAAACTTGAAATAAGGAGAGGGAGACAAAAAAAATGAACATCCCTTTATACTAATGTTCTGCTTAAATATCTTAGTGATATTAATGCTTCAGAAGGTAGCATGTATACACACATGTATACACACATACACACACACACATACAAATATATACACCTACAGACTGACCCATCCTACTTTTTAAGATAGCTTTCCAGATATGATGGACCAACTTCTATAATTCCGATTTGATCAAAGACTGGCTGGGAATCATGGGAATTAAAAATCCAACACAAAACTAGAAGAGTCAATCTGTACATTCTTCTGCCCAGAAGTGCATATCATTTAGATACATTCCACACAAGAATTTTTTGTGGCTTGCATATTCATATTGTGAAAATTTCATAGGTGAGAAATGAAAGCCGGATTTCAATTCAATTGCCCCATGTTAATGCAGATGACTGTCTTTACAAAGAAAGTAGGATGCCAGTGAATTGATTTAACTAGAGCTATCTTACCGATACATACAAATTATCTATATATTCATAAATAGTATCATTTGTCCATATTAACCCCAGGTTAATATGTAAATGTTTTCCAATTTGCTTTCAAAATAAATTGTCTAATAAAGAAAACTATTTTTCATTGTCTTTTATCTGCTTTTTAAAATTTCACCATGAATGTGTTGGCCCTACTTTTTAAATTCCATACAGATGTTTTTATTAACAGTTGTAATACACACAGAGACACACATACAGAGAGAGGGAGGGAGGGAGAGAGGGAAAGAGAGAGGGAGGGAGAGAGAGGAGGGTATTTTTATTTCCAGAAAGGAGACTGCCATAAACCAGGCACTAATGAGTCAAACTTTTAGAAACAGAAAGAAGGTGTGGGGACAAGCTACTGCTCCTAGCGTGTGTCACATCAGTATATTCAGTAGTGAAAATTGGGCTGCTCCAGACAGCATGACATAACCAGTAGAATGAAAAAAAACACATCTTTGTATCCCATCATGTTGATGTTTTTCACCTTCAAAGAGTTCAGGAAATACATTCCCAACTGCAGACAGTAATAAAGTATTGTGGTAAAGTATTCGATGGTTTTGAGAACTAATCTGAGCTAAATCACCATTTTGCCATGCTGCTTTAAACCCATTGGCTGACCTCCTCCCACTCATCAAACAGGGGAAAGGGAAGGCTGTAGCACAGGGGTCTCCAACCTTGGCAACTTTAAGCCTGGAGGACTTCAACTCCCAGAAT